GATAACTAGTTTAGTCGTTATCGGCTGTTTTGCTTTACGATTACATTCGTCTGGAACGAACAGACATAAAGCAGAAAAGAACTACCATGGTCAAATGAAAGTCAACTCAAGTTTGTCTCGCTCCTGATACTAGGGGCGCTGCGTAATAGTTTTTTTTACAGTACTGTTTCAAAGAAGAAAAATCTAGCCTACTACTGTGATGTTACGTAAACAATAGATTTAATGTTTCCCGAAAAAAATCAGAATAGAAACAATAGAAAGGCAACGCAATAGAAGGGTGGGAGGGGTTGGGCAATGACCTCGAAAGGAGCGCGGGAAGTGAGTCAAGTAGGACCGGAGGGGGAAGGGAGGGTACGACCTTGAAACTATATATATAGACTTGCACTACTTCCCTAAACCAGGACTGGCCGGCGAGTGGTATTCCAATCACAGGACAAGATACGTTGTTTTTTGGGTATTCATTGCCCGGTTTGACTTTGGATTGTCTTATTGTGTAGACACTTTGATTAATAAAAAATAAAGTTAGAACTAACCACGATTATTTAGCATTGATTGTGTACATATTAAATGATTAAACGATAGGGACCATGGATATACAAACTTTTGTCTGATTTTAATTTCAACATCAAAATACAATATTGCACAATCGTGATATTTTAGGTCACTGACCTTTATTATGCATCCGATATTGCTGTTTCAGAAGAGAAGTACGTTGATAAATTATAAATTGATATTCCCGTAGTTAAAAAGAATTATCTTATAAACCTATGAAACAAAATCATAAAATCTTACATAAAGATAACAATAACAGAAATTGTAAAAAAGGTATAAAGATAACAACGTCATTATTCTTTCTCTTTGTTCTTCTATTTCTTGGGTTTCCCTTCATCACGCATTCAACAAGTTGCCATGATTACTAATCACCCATGTCGTTATCAGCTTTTGTGACATAGCGCACAGCAGGGGGTAAAACTGGACGAGAATCGGTTAATTTTTATCTATTATTTACCAATGAATGTACTTTATTGGTATTTGGTACTGTATTAAGATGTGCCGGCGACGCAGTGGCGTACGTAACTAAATACAAGCTTGCACACGCACTGATATTTTACCGATCATATCTGCAGTTCTCGCTACACCATCATCCATTTTAGGCGACTGCTCTTCTTGCATTTTTAATTAGTTTTGCGTGTTTATAACATGGGTGACTTTATAGATAAGGATGCTATTGACATTCTAAAATAGTTGAAAATTTTTCTGCTATCAAGCCTTAGTTCTTCAAAAAGTGTGTGGAATGTTCCCGTTTTTTCCTCTGCTTTGATTAATTGGATGAATCCAGAATATACGTTTAATCCTTCTTAATACGTCAATACAATAACCACATAGCAACAAATCTTTTAGGATTAAGTATTCAATAGTCTCGTCTCGTCCTCGACACAACAACAAAGACTGGTTGTTTTGCCAATAAAAATCCGGTGTGTGTGCAAATAGCCTAAGGTATACTATAATATTACACATCTACCATAGCCATAATATTTTACCACTTCACCTAAACAATAGAGGAAAATAAATTATTGAAAATTCGCAAAATATCACAAATTATTCATGCAATTAAAAACATAAACATTACTATAAACAATCCTACTTTGACAGTTCTCATTGCCTATCACAGTTTTTTGTTGCTGCTTAGTTCAAATTAGCTGTTTTCATAAATGCAAAAATAATAGTGCTGCACCCTTTTGCTAAATATTATAACATTTTAATACTTTTGTATATCATAGAACCAACTTTTTTAGTTGAAACAGCTGACTAAATTTTTTAATTCCCTTTAAATATGAATACGCATAAGGTTAACAAGGGGAACTACAGAGCCACTGGGGCGGAGCCCGAAAGGATTTTTGAGATAAGAATATGCCTATATGTTAATCGGGAATATGAGCTATCATCATGCCAAATTTCAGCCCAATCCGTCGATTAGTTAATGCGTGATTGAACTTCAAACAAACACACAAACTTTCACATTTATAATATTAGTAAGATAGTAAGATTGACAGACTTCCCGTTACATTATACAGCAGTAGGGGACAGATAAGACCTGTTGTGAAACCCAATTTAAAGCCTACTGCTTAGTCTTAGTTTCCAGGATTCAAAAGGGGGAAAATTATAAAAACTTAATAGCTAAATATTAATGTTTTCAGTTACAGATTCATAATATGTTTTCTAGACAGTCTATTTCTTTTCTTGCCATACAAAAATCTGACAGAACAAATTGTGCTTGAAGATAACAATACTTTTTTAATCCTGAATATTAATGTCTTGATAAACTGTAATTATCTTCTTTCAGGTTGGTCCGGCTCTACATTCCTGATTATTCTCTTTAGTGGGGTTGTATATTTGCTAGTGATGGTCGGATCCGGATGTCGGACTACCGGATCCGCCGGATCTGAGCTAGAACCGGCACCCGATCGGATCCAAAAAATTCCGGATCTTGGGCTGGATCCGGTTTTGATGGATCAAATTTTCCCCGATTTTTTTACTAACACAAAGCTGTCTGTATCCATGTACAAGACCGATTTTTTACTAACACAAAGCTGTCTGTATCCATGTACAAGACTATCTGTGACTGTGTACAAGAAGACTATCTGTGTCTGTGTACAAGAAGACTAATGTCAATGTCACAGTACTGTATTTTGCCGACGTCAATAACCTATATGGTTAGTCAATGTCACAGTACCATTTATTACGACGTCAATAACCTCTATGGTTAGTCAATGTCACAGTACTGTATATTACGATGTCAATAACCTCTATGGTTAGGCAATGTTACAGTACTGTATATTGCCGACGTTCATAACCTCTATGGTTAGGCAATGTCACAGTACTGTATATTACGATGTCAATAACCTCTATAGTTGGGCAATGTTACAGTACTGTATATTGCCGACGTCAATAACCTCTATGGTTAGGCAATGTCACAGTACTGTATATTACGACGTCAATAACCTCTATGGTTAGGCAATGTCACAGTACTGTATATTGCCGACGTCAATAATTTTTATGGTTAGGCAATGTTACAGTACTGTATATTGCCGACGTCAATAACCTCTATGTTTAAGCAATGTCATAGTACTGTATATTACGACGTCAATAACCTCTATGGTTAGGCATTGTCACAGTACTGTATATTGCTGACGTCAATAACCTCTATGGTTAGGTAAGGTCACAGTATATGCCACATAATTCTATAAAAAAAAAATTGTATTCTTGAATCCAAATCTTTTCTTAAGATTCGGTGGATTCGAGATCCGGAATCAACACATCCCTACCTTCGATCTTGTGTATGCTATATTGTGGTTTTTGCGTGCAGCATCCAATTTATTTATGCCTGGATCACCCCTTGCTTATCTCTTCCTTAAATTCCTTCCAGGTCCACAGTACTGATAGCCGGGTATGTGGAATTCTACAGGTAAAATACCCTGTGTCTGTGTACAAGAAGATTTTCTGTGTACATACAGGGTGAATAAAAAGTCAAGACTCCTCCATCTAATATGTTAGAACACAGTATAGTCTTCTTGTACACAGACACAGGGTATTTTACTTGTAGAACTTCACATACACTGGTATCAGTACTGTGGACCTGGACCGAATTTAAGGAAGAGATTAACAAGAGGTGATCCAGGCATAAATAAATTGGATGCTGCATGCACAAACCACGATATAGCATACTCAAGATCGAACTATAGTAAAATATACACAGATACCCTTTTGGTGGTCGTGCACACTTAGCACATAGTTTCATTTTAAGATTTTGAAAAATGTTAGTGTCCTCAAAAAATTAGGGATTATGGGCTCAACTGGAGATTACTCTATATATAAGACTAACCTTTAAACATTACCAATTTTGTTTTAAACAGTATGATTTAAATTGGCCCTTAAGACAGTGTGTATCCGTGTGAAACGTGTCATTTTATTATTTTTGGGCCATTTGTAAAAAAAAAATAAATGTGATAGGAATCTTAAATTTCCATATAGGGAAAAAATTCCAAACAATTTGTATATCTTGAAGTTTACGTGAAACATTTTTGGTTCATACAGCAATTTTTCTACCTACTGTCAATATTTTCTACAATATTCTAAATATTTATTTTGTAGCCATTTTCCAATTCTTTATAGCATTACGAACACTTCAAGTATACGGTTCAATAGATTTGGTCTGTTCGTTTAGTTTATATGAATTTTCAAAAATATGACTGCAAAATCGCCAAAAGTGTCTTGCCACTACAGAGTTTGTCCACTGCAAGTTTGAGGGTTAACGAAATCCGCTTTAAAAATCACACTATAAAACTACATTATTATAACCACAATTATTAACATGCACGTAGATGCTGTGCTAGGCTACCGCCGCGCCTCGCACCGATGTATCTCACTAAGGAGGGGCGGGGGAGGGGAAGTAGGATCAGGCGGCGGCCGCTAATATCAAAGGAGTGAGCCAGCCCTTGTATATCTGTAGCCCTGGGTTATAACACTCAAATGCCTGAACCGATTTAAATGAAATTTGGCATACAAGACCTTGAATACATTATCTCGACCCAACATTATCATTACCCCCCCCCCTCGTTGTCAATGGTCGAGTTTGATCAAGTCGTATCAAAATGGCGGCCGTTAATAACTAAAATAATAAAAATGTTTCAGTGTTTTGTGTTCTCAACTCCCTCCAGAGATCTGCTGCAACCTATTCATTTTCCTTTCAATCACAGGTTTTGATACCGTCCCTGCATTTCATGGAATAGGCAAAATTTCCATGTATATAATTACAGACAATATAATGTCATTACGGACGACCGAGGTCCTTAAAAATTGGGGTCTGGGCGGTTTTACATTGTTAGGCTTATATGTTATTACCACCCCAAGTTACATGCTCCCCGCCAGAACTGAAATATTTTCCTGCTACCCATCCCCACTACTTATCATTAGTCAAGCTGTTGTTGTTGTTTAAACAGAGGACATGCAGAACCTAGAGGAGGCAGGGATGTTGTCAGCTGGAGGGTGGTCAGAGACTGCTCCCACCACCACCACTACCACCATGACAGGCCTCAAACAGAGGCAGGGCCTGCTGAGGAGACAGGTAACACTTTCCAGAGGCCTATACAACAAAATAACATAAATCCTCATACTATTAGTCATAGTCATAGTCATAGTCATAGTCATATAATCTTTATTCAGCAGTACAACATGTTGCACCAGAATGGCGTTATACAATTAAATTATATTGTTAGAACTAACCATAACTTATATAAAAAGGCTAAACAAAAATACAAATCTTATAACTTACAATTTACAACACATTCAACCAAAAAAATTCATCTAGGGAATAAATGGGCTTGGATAACATAAAAGTTTTTAGCTGTTTTTTAAATTTATTTTTGTCTGTTATTTGTAAAATATTATCTGGTAGATGGTTATAAAATTTAATCCCAGCATATGACGGTTTATTTTCAAAGAATTTTAAGTTGTGATTTGAAAAACTGATTTTGTGTCTGTGCCTTGTCCCATAGCTGTGGCATGAACCCAAGGTCTCAAATTTTGGTAAATTATTCTTTACAAACAAGATCAAATCAAAGATATATTGGGCAAAAACAGTAAGAATACCAAGTTTTGAAAATTGTTCTTTAACTGAGGTTCTCCAATCTTGAATGTTTAACATGATACGAAGTGCTTCTTTTTGATATAATAATATTTGTTCCAAATTTTCATGAGAGGTTGCACCATACAAAATTATGCCAAAGGAGATGTGGGAGTGAATAAAAGCAAAGTAAATTATTTTTAATGTTTCGAAAGGACATAATTTAGACATTTTTCTCAGAGCAAAAATCCCTGATGAAATTTTACGGCCAAGATGTTCAATATGAAGGTTCCAATTCAAATTTTTGTCAAGTACAAGTCCTAGGAATTTAAAATTTTGCAGTTCTTCTAGACATTTTCCTTCCATCAAAATTCTGTGTTGAGCTGGTTTATTACTTTGATATGTTGAGAAAGATATGCACTTTGTCTTATTTATATTTACTAAAAGGTTTAAATTGTTTAAGAAAGTATTTACGTGTGGAAATTGGTTATTTGCTATTGACTCTACTTTTTGATGGGTATTACCAGATACAAGTAAGCTAATGTCATCAGCATATAAACAGACTTTTGCATCATCTAATACATCTGGTAAACCCTTTGTATAACATATGAACAACAGTGGTCCCAGGATTGATCCTTGTGGCACTCCATATTTTAAAATTTCCAATGATGAAGTAAAATTTACCTTATTGTTGTTTGTGACATTAGTTATTTCTACATATTGCTGTCTGTTATTTAAGTATGATTTAAACCAATCTAAAGCTCTTCCCTTGATACCCAAACAAAACAGGATATTTACCAGCTTGGAGTGTGACACACTATCAAAAGCCTTGCTGAGGTCCATGAAGACCCCAGTAACATTATTTCTCTTATCCACCGAATCTATTACTGATTCAATGAACTGAACACTAGCACTAATCACAGACTTGCCGGATTGAAATCCATGTTGTTCTTTATCTATCAAGTTGTTGGTTTCCAGAAATTCTGTTAGTTTTATACACATAGCTTTTTCATATATCTTAGAAAAGGATGGTAGTAAAGATATAGGTCTATAGTTTGAAGGTGTAGCGGGGTCTCCCTTTTTAAAGACTGGTTTAATCTTAGAAATCTTTAATTTGTCAGGAAAAATACCTGTAATAAAAGAAGAGTTTACAAGATGACATAACGGATATTTTAGATAGTCAATTGCTGTTTTAATAATAGGCATGGGGATCTCATCATAACCACAAGAAAATTTATTTTTAAAAGACAAAACTATTGATTTGATTTCTTCTAATGATAGTGGTTGAGGAAGAAAACTTTTATTTGAGTGGCTCAAAAGGGGTGTTTGGATACTTTTAGCTTTGTTGGGTATGTTTGGGATAACTTCTGTTTCAACCATGTTGGCATAGTACTGGTTTAGGAGTGCACTTACCAACCTGGGATCACTGACGTCTCTGTTTCTATGCTTTAAAGTAATGTTTTGTTGGCGGATTGAACTGCTGCCTACCTCTTTATTTATAACATTCCATGTTGTCTTGCATACATTGTCTGCATTTCGTATCTTATTACTGAAAAAGTTAGTTTTAGCTCCAAGAATTTGGGATTTTAATTCAGTTTTTTTGTTTTTCAAGGCCAATTTAACATTTTTGTCCCTGGTAAGCCGATTTAAATTACTTAGTCTGTCGATTTCCTGTTTACTCTGTACAATGTGTTGGTTCATCCAGCCTGTTTTTTTGGAAGTCTGTCTGCATTTTACCATAGGAAAACACAAGTTAAAATAATACATGAAAACATTGATGAACACATCATACTTATCATTTACAGGAGCGTTATAGACATCATGCCAATTTTCATGAGAAATTAAATGCATAAACTGTGCGTTTTTGTCTTCTGTGAATTTTCTACGAGTGGTGGTGATGGATTTGTTTTTTGATTTGTTTGAGTTGCCAAAATGTATTTCAAAAAGCTGACCATCATGGTCAGATATCTCAGTAATTAGTCCTGTGACGACAATTTCATTTTTATTAATATTTGTTATAATCTGATCAATTGAACTTTCTTTAGTGTCACACACTCTCGTAGGGAAATTCACTGAACAGTACATTGAATGTGATTCAACAATATTTTTTAGTCTATTACTCGTACTATTGCTTTCTAAAACATCGATATTTATATCCCCAGCAACAACAACATGGGCATACATTTTGTTCAGAATTTCAAGTAAAGTATTTAACTTGTCCAGGAAATTATCAATTATCAATTGTCTTATAATTAATTCATTGTCCTACTTAACTATGGATGCTGACTTATATAAATAGAAAGTAATTTGTTAACTTATAGTATCCTTTTATGTCTGTCTGGCTAAACTACATGTTTCTTGGCGACTGCCAAATCTTCAGGTATAACCTCTTCTAAGATTTGTTAAAACATTAAAAATTGAACACAAAACACACGTTGAAATAAAGGTATTTACTCAGGGGAGGTATAGATGAGCTTATGATGACAGCTGTGGGCTTCTCATTAGCTGAGGGAACACCATTACCGTAACAATACGGTTTGCAGCCATCGTTCTTGGTGGTCTAGTGGTTAGCGTGCCGGGCTGGTATGTTGGGAGTCCCGGGTTCGAATCCCGCTGGAGACACTAACTTTTTGACTAAGATTTTTTCATTATCAGCAAGTTTGGTTGGTTTGGGTCGGTTATGACAGTTTAATTTTATTATTTAGTCATTATACAATTTTAATTGAGCAATTTCTAGTTTTATTTAATGAACAGAATTATTTTTTCTATTAATAAACTTTTTTATATTATTTCAGTAAGTTATCAGCAAGTTTGGTTAGTTCGGTTAGGTTATGATAGTAATTTTATAATAAAAAAATTATAAAATTGAATTTGAGGCATTTATAATTTTATTTTATGAACAGAACTATTTTTGCGATTAGTAAACCTTCATTGCCAAAATGCTCTCTACTACAGCGCTGTTCACGGAGGAATTTTGAACTAATGCCTCAATCGTACCTCCCCTAAGTCAGACCCTGAAATAAAACAAATTTAACAAAAAAAAACATAATTAATTTTATCCACATGGTGATGCTTGATATTGCACACAACAGGTCGATCAGCTGTTCCTTATCGTTGTTTATTTCTAATTATTGTATCAAACAATGCATTTGCTTGGCTATTTAATTAGTAGGAGTCTGCAGTACAGAAAATTTAAGGTCGGTACAATACGGTACATTATTAAATTAGTAGATGGGATTAAGGTGAATAAGACAATCCTTCCCGAATACTATGTAGTGCAGTTGTAAGCTCGTAGCTAACTTTGTGGGCTGCTAGGCTATCTAGGCTTATCTAGGATGCATTTTGTGTTATTACCTACAAATTGATTGTGTCCCTTCTCATAATATATTCATAGGTTTTCTTTGTATGTTTGATGATTCATTTATGAAATAAAATAACAAAAAAGGAATAAATGAATACAGTAGACTCTCGCTCATCCGGACTAATGTGGCGGACTTCCGGTCCGGATTACGAAAAATCTGGACTATCGAGAGTCCAAATAAAGTAAACACAAAAAAGAAAACTTAAGCTACGCACTTTTAGGTAGTTAACTGTCATAAAAAACAAAAAGTTACAATTGGAAAATTAAACCTTACAAACTTGACGTAAATAACAAATACAGTTACTTTAGATTGTTATTACTCTATAAGTTAGATAAAAAATAAAAACTGTACTGTAACGTATTTTAAAACTGACGTAACTTACAGTTCAGTACGAATTATGTTTTGAAAAAGTCTTTGATTGTGGCCTGCTTTAGGGCCTGCTGTCTTGGCTCGTTGTTTTACCGCCATGTCCCTCAGCTTCCGTAAGCACATTAAGTCGGCAGCAGACACGCCATCTAGACGACAGGGCTCCGTCCAGCATCTTGAACCCTTCCGAGTGTGGAATGGTAGGCTTGGGTTTGGGTAGGTCCTCTTCCTCCACCGCTTCATCGTCATTTGAAACCATTCTTATAAAGTCGTCGTCTGTAATTTCATCTTCGTTGTCACTGTTCATCCACTCTAATACGTCACTTTCTTTTACTTTGCCACATCCTGGTATTTTCTCCAACAGTGAGACAACATTTTCTGTTTCCACATTGTTCTCATCGTGTTAAATTCCCTGCTATCAATCTTTCTGAATTTGTTTCCCTAGTGGTCTAACAGAGCCTTCCACAATAAAACGATCGTCATAGGTGGGATTTCTTCCCATCCTTCAGCCACCCACCTAATTACATACAGGACGTCAATTTTCTTTAATGCAGTGATGTAATCTTCATCAATGTCTATGGCCGATATGATGTGAGAAAGAAGTCGATGGCGGTATTTCAACTTAAGTGCTTGAAGTACCCCTTGGTCCATTGGCTGACAAAGGGCAGTGACATTTGGTGGCAAAAAAACTGCTTTGTTAAAGATTTATTAAAACATTAAAAATTGAACACAAAACACACGTTGAAATAAAGGTATTTACTCAGGGGAGGTATA